ATTTCATGGACTACAGTTAAAGAATGCTAGTTTAGAACCTGCTTTCAATGAAGGAATATTGTCCCCAAGGGGGTAAACATTTTTTGAGGGAGCAGGGACAGAAAACTTGCTAAGTGTGGCTTGTAGCCTTCCTAAGGACCACAGTGCATAACATATAAACACAGACATATTTGTGGTATTAAAATTTCAAGGAGGGGGCCGGTAGTTAGGAAAACAAAGCTTTAGAACCCTCCATAGAAGCATGAAATAAAGTTTGAGAAACTCTGTTCTAGAAGAAACCAAATGAGTCCACCAAGTTGTAGTGCCCCTCTAGATAGTACTTAAGAATACAATCCCTGATCTTTTTCTAGTTAGCAGCTTGTTACCTTGAGCCTGAGCCTCAGTTTCCACGATGACAAATTGGGATCGCGGACGCTAGCTTGATTACGTGGCTGCAGAGATGAGTGGGTTAAGGGTGCAATAGCATGTGCTTTGTTGCTTGTGGAGGGTGGTGGTGGTGGTTTTCCTGACAGTGGAATGGGCATTCTTGCATGGACTTTATTGGAGATTTCCAGAAGTTAAAATGGTGGAGTCCAAGGGCTTCAACATGCTAATGAAAAAGAAACCATAGTACAAAAGTGGATACTTTTGAAGTTTTCTCTTACATCTCAGTCTGTGGCCTTAACGCTCTCAAGAGCTAGAGCCCACCAGTAGTTTCTCTTACTTTAGACGGAAATTTTCCCCGTACATGTTTATATCTTTATCCACAAACACAGATGGGACCACAGATAGACAGCCCCTTCTCTTCTTCCTCTTGAAATAAATCCTGGGCAGTTGTCCTCTAGAGCAGCACATGTAACCTAGATCTGCTTGATTTTTGTAGTCTCCTTTTTTTCTGTACCCTGATGTATTTAACCTGAACCTTACGGCTTGACCAGAGTTTGCTGTTTGTTAATCTGAGAAATGCATCCCTGTATTTCATACAGTAAATTCCCAACAAGGGTCAAAGGAGAACTGCACTAACCTGGTGACCTGGTAACCACAGTGCTCAGAAGGAGCTGTAGCTCTTTGTCGGCACCTACCAATAGTGTGTATTTCCCTCCCAAGAGGAACTTGTTCAAAAGTTCTACTTTTTGAAGTTCTTGATGCACAGTTGCCAGAACTGCTTTTCCAGAAAGAGTGCCCCATAACACCCACTCTAACACCTCATTTCAAGTACTGGGAAAGTGTAGGGATAGATCTTATATTCTGGGAATTGACAAATATTTTTTTAAGTTGATTCTTGAACTGTAACTGGGAACAGTATTAGGACTGCAAGGAAAGAGGTGTACTTAACCTATTGAACTTCACCTGGAAAAGTAGCAGGGGTGCGTTGTGTCCTAACTTTTAAAGTAACTTCTGAGAGTCCCAGAAAGATAGTAGTGTGTGTCCTAGCCCTCTTTTCCCTTCCTTGCCAACTTTTTTTTTTTTTTTTTTAAGATTTAGTTTATTTATTGGTAAGAGACACAGAGAGAGAAGTAGAGACACAGGCAGAGGGAGAAGCAGGCTCCCTCTGGGAGCCCAATGCGGGACTCATCCCAGGGCCCCAGGATCATGACCAAAGGCTCAAACCCTGAGCCACCCAGGTGCCCCACCTTCCTTGCCAACTCAACCCCTCAGGCTTTTCTGTGGTCCCTGGTGTGTCTTTGAGAGGAAAGATAGTTGCAGTGTTAACAGAAGAAACATTATGGTAGGAAGGAGGGAGGATCTGGGTCTCCCAAGCCTGGGTTTTAATATTGACCCTGCAGGGTTTTTTTTGTTTAAGACTTTATTTACTTATTCGTGACAGGGAGAGACCTAGGCCTAGGGGAGAAGCAGGCTTCCTGTGGGGAGCCTGATGTGGGACTGGATCCCAGGACCCCAAGATCACTCCCTGAGCCAAAGGCAGACACTCAACCACCGAGCCACCCAAGTGCCCCCTTGCCCTGCAGTTTATCAGTTGTATTACCTTGGGCAAAATGAAGTCCTCTGTCCCTCAGTTCCCCTCTTGGTAAAACAATAATAGCCCCTACCTCATAGAGTTATAACCTATGAATTGTTCAGAATTATACTTGGCACATAGTAAGAATTCAGAAATTATAACTTTTTGTTTAAATTTTTTTATTTACTTATGATAGTCACAGAGAAGAGAGAGAGGCAGAGGGAGAAGCAGGCTCCATGCACCGGGAGCCTGATGTGGGATTCGATCCCGGGTCTCCAGGATAGCGCCCTGGGCCAAAGGCAGGCGCTAAACCACTGCGCCACCCAGGGATCCCTCTATAACTATTTTTTAATTGTGCTACCTTGGGCAAGTCATGATACCTGAATTTGTTTTTCTCATCTGTAAATGGAGCTGATATTGAATCGATTGGATGAATACAGTATGAGGTACCAAGAGGTCCCTAGTCGGAACTACAGACAGTAGTACCAGGGTCATCTTTTCACCATGGGGTCCCTATCTCCCCTGGTTTGGGCACAGTAGGAGGTGGGAAGTATTGGGAAATGAGTTAAGCATTCAGTGACCATTTTTATAAGCTTTGTTCGGTTTGCCCAGCTAACCATTTGAGCCATTAGAGACAGAAGATGTAGAGAAACTCTTTCCTGAGCACCTGCATATCTGCACTTTGCCCAGATCCCATCCAGGATGGTGTCAGGCACATTAGTAGGCACTTGACACATTTGTTGTTGTTTTTTAAGATTTATTTATTTATTTGAGAGCAAGCAAGTGAGCACACAGAGGGAGAGGGAGAAGCAGACTCCCCACTGAGCAGGGAGCCCAGTTGCTGGGCTCAATCCAGGACCCCCCGGGGTTCGTGACCTGAGCCGGAAGACAGACACTTAACTGAGCCACTCAGGCGCCCTGACACAGCTAACTGAATCACTTGACTTAACCCAGGCATAGCTACCTTATGAGGCTTTCATGATTATGGATGTTTCAGGCAAATTCTGAAGGGTAAGGCTACCATATCAGACCTGTTGTTCACAGGTAAGTGCTGGAATAACCCTAACCTGCTTTCCCTACCCTGGCAGGCCGGACCTCTTTGTAGCTAGCTGTTGGCTCTTTCTCCCTGGCCCACCCCTAACCCAAACACACCTTACAAAACTTGATGTAGGCCACCTTAACATAAATTTTAAAGAACCACTTTTTGAAACTCTGAAATCTATAGATCTTAAGAAAAATACACTTTCCTTTTCCAAGATCTGTTCTTTCCCCATACTCTGGACTCTTCTGTCAAAACCCCATAATTTTAGGGAGTACAGTCCCCCAAGGAGTTGAGAGGCAAACTATATTAGTTTGCTTTTAAAAGTAATGATTTCTTAAAAGTGATGTGTATCTTTCTTGGCCTTTTCCCATGCATTCATACGTTTCACAGAGGTTTTATTTTAAACAAAAATGGTCACAATTTACGTATTCTGCAGTCTGTTTCTTTCACCTAACTCTCTCCATGTTGGGGCATACAGAAGTTATATGCCACTTTTGCTGTGTGAGTGAATCAAAATTGACAGTAGCTGCTAGAAAAATTTCTGTTAAAAAAAAAACACCCACAAAAAATAACCCTTCTTACATGGGTCTTTGTGTACTTGTGCAATTATCTGTGTGGTTTAGAGCATACGCCAAGCATTGCTGACTCCGAGGCATACCTCTATGACTTCTTAGTGGGGGAGTGTACGTATAATCGGATAGCCAGGAAATGAGAGCAATAAAGTAGCTTAGAGAGGCTCTTCCCCCAGCTTTTTTTTGCTTTCAGGACCCAGGCGTCTGGATAAAGCCACAGCAAGATGGGCATTTTAATGTGCCTGTTAACATTAACCCTGAAGGGAATAGGACTTAATTACAAAAGAAATCCATGGACTAAGCCTTTTTAGGGATGTAACTGCCCAGAATAGGAATATGTTTGATTTTTGTATATTTCATTTCGGATAAATAACAGTAGTCGACGTTGCAAGTACAGGGAGAAGAATGAAGCCCATCGTTCCCATCCCCTCTGTCCATTCTCGGGCTTCTCTCTTGACATAATGGTTTATTAAACCCTTTTAGTGTCCTGACTATTAAGGCATTTCTCTAGTTGTTGCGTGATCTGTAAGGTCATCAAAGTCTTTAGTCACGGCCTTCCTAGAACATGAAATCTTTCCTTTTGTCTGTGTCTCATAGGAGAATATTCCTAGGAGCATCCACTTGGCCTTCCTGTGTGCATGTGCCCTGGTCTCCATGTTTTCAGTGAATTTGGCACTGCTATCATGATTGTTGGCACCTTGAAAGTGGGAAGGTGCCCAGGTTGACACTGAGTGATTTACAGCAGTTTCGCTTTCAGTGGCCCCAAGATGGGGATGATCGGCCATATTTGAGCAGGTTTCCATTATTTATAGTCACCGCGTGAGACCCATTGGCCTTTGCAGGCTCACTCTGAGTGGGGTGCAGAGCTCCAAGGGGATTATTTAAATAATAATTGTAGGATTTCCTAGGGTTTCTGTAGCAAATTGCTACAAATCAAATGACTTAAAACAACAGATTGAGGCTAATGGTTCTGGAGGCCAGACATGTGAACTTGAGGTGTTGGCGGGGATGGTTCCTTCTGGAAACTGAGGAAGAAACCGTTCCAAGCCTCCTTTCTATCTCCTGTTGGCTTCTGGCACTCCTGGCTTCCGGCCACCAGGTTCCTTCATAGGGCCTTACTTGTTCCATCTGTCTTTTCCCTGTCCCTTTAAGAACATCAGGCGTTGGGTTAGGGACCCTCCCAATTACATTTGCAAAGATCCTGTTCCGAATAAGTTCACATGCACAGGTGCTGAGTATAAGGACTTGGGTGTCTTTTGCGGGGGACACAGTTCAACCCACAACACAAATGGTTGGTTCAGTCAGTCCTTTCGGATGCCTGGGTCCCTCTGACAGTCTTCTCCCTGTTAGGACACAGGTTGTGAAGCTGTGGTTCTTCCCTAGAAACCGCCCCCCCCCCCCCACCCCTTCTTGGGCACCATTCTTAGCTTTTCCTCTCTTGTCCCAGGTGCTCCAATGAACCACCCGGGGACTGGCAGTGAAGCCAACAGGGATGGAATGACTGCAAAGAGGACTCGTCGGGAGGAGACTCACATCTGTGAGAAATGCTGTGCAGAGTTCTTCAGCTTCTCGGAGTTCTTAGAACATAAGAAAAATTGCACTAAAACCCCACCGGTGCTCATCATGAATGACAGCGAGGGGCCGGTGCCTCCGGAGGAGTTCCCCGGGGCCGCGCTCGGCCACCCGCCGCACAGCCCAGGCGGTAAGGAGGGTCACAGGGAGGATGGCGGCGGCTCGGGGGAGCTGAAGGAGAAGCTGGGTGCCGAGTCTGTCGTGTACCTGAAGGCCGAGACCGCCCTGCCCACCGCGTCCCAGGACATAAGCTATCTACCCAAAGGCAAAGTGGCCAACACTAATGTCACTCTGCAAGCACTGCGGGGCACCAAGGTGGCGGTGAACCAGCGCAGCGCCGAGGCGCCGCTGGCCCCCGTGCCCGGCGCCAGCAGCATCCCGTGGGTCCTGGAGCAGATCCTGTGCCTGCAGCAGCAGCAGCTGCAGCAGATCCAGCTCACTGAGCAGATCCGCGTGCAGGTGAACATGTGGGCCTCGCACGCCCTCCACTCGGGCGTGGCGGGAGCGGACACCCTCAAGACCCTGGGCAGCCACATGTCCCAGCAGGTTTCCGCGGCCGTGGCCTTGCTCAGCCAGAAAGCCGGCAGCCAGGGCCTGTCTCTGGACTCCTTGAAACCAGCCAAGCTACCTCACGCAAACATCCCTTCCACCGCCAGCTCCCAGGGGCTGGCGTCCTTCGCCCTGAAGCCCGACGGGACGAGGGTGCTGCCGAACGTCATGTCGCGCCTTCCTGGTGCTTTGCTACCTCAGGCCCCAGGCTCTGTGGTCTTCCAGAGCCCTTTCTCCACCGTGGCGTTAGACCCGTCCAAGAAAGGGAAGGGGAAGCCACCGAACGTGTCCCCGGTGGAGGCCAAACCCAAAGACGAGGCCGTCCTCTGCAAGCACAAGTGTAAGTACTGTAGCAAGGTTTTTGGGACCGATAGCTCCCTGCAGATCCACCTCCGCTCCCATACCGGAGAGAGACCCTTCGTGTGCTCTGTCTGTGGCCACCGGTTCACCACCAAGGGCAACCTCAAGGTGCACTTTCATCGACATCCCCAGGTGAAGGCCAACCCCCAGCTCTTTGCCGAGTTCCACGACAAAATGACGGCAGGCAATGGCATTCCCTATGCACTCTCTGTACCCGTCCCCGTAGATGAATCGAGTCTCTCTTTAGACAGCAAACCTGTCCTTGTAACAGGGACCCCCGGTCTAGGGCTACCTCAGAATCTCTCTTCAGGGACTAACCCCAAGGACCTCCTGGGCGGCCCTCTGCCCAACGACCTGCAGCCCGGGCCTTCCCCAGAAAGTGAGGATGGATCCCTACTGTCTGGGGGGGGGCCAAACCACACTTCCCCGAGGGTTGGTGGCTTCCAAGGGAGTGGGACCCCCGAGCCGGGGTCAGAGACCCTGAAATTACAGCAGCTGGTGGAGAACATCGACAAGGCCACCACCGACCCCAACGAATGTCTCATTTGCCACCGGGTCTTGAGCTGCCAAAGCTCCCTCAAGATGCATTACCGCACCCACACCGGGGAGAGGCCGTTCCAGTGCAAGATCTGTGGTCGGGCCTTCTCCACCAAGGGCAACCTGAAGACGCACCTCGGGGTTCACCGGACCAACACGTCCATAAAGACGCAGCACTCGTGCCCCATCTGCCAGAAGAAGTTTACGAACGCGGTCCTGCTGCAGCAGCACATCCGGATGCACATGGGCGGCCAGATTCCCAACACGCCTCTGCCCGAGAACCCCTGTGACTTTGCGGGTCCCGAGGCCACGATGGTCAGTGAAAATGGCAGCGCGGGTGCCACCTGTCACGATGACGTCATTGAGAGCATCGACGTGGACGAGCTGGGTCCCCAGGACGCTTCGGGCAGCTCCCTGAAGGTCCCCGTGCCGCTTCCCAGCGTCCACTCGGCATCCCCCACTCTCGGGTTCGCCGTGACGGCCGCCCTAGATGCCCCGGGGAAGGTGGGTCCTGCTCCTCTTGTCCTGCAGCGGCAGAGCAGCAGAGAAAACGGCTCGGTGGAGAGCGACGGCTTGACCAACGACTCGTCGTCCTCGGTGATGGGGGACCAGGAGTACCAGAGCCGAAGTCCAGATGTGCTGGAGACCGCGTCCTTCCAGGCCCTGTCCCCGGCCAATAGCCAGGCAGAGAGCATCAAGTCCAGGTCTCCTGATGCTGGTGGCAAAGCAGACAGCTCCGAGAACAGCCGCACTGAGATGGAAGGTGATAGAGCTTTGGATTTAACTTAGGTCCATTTTGGGCACAAGGTCATCCAAGAGGCACCTGGGTTGAACTTGGCAAATGGACAGTATGATGTATGCAAAGCAGCTCCTTTGTAGGACAGTTAGCCTCTCTGTACTTCTGGGTAGAGGGCAATTAGAACTACCTCTGTCCTAGCACTAATGATGTCCTTTTATTTACGGTGGTTAATGCAAATTGGGTATGGACAGCACACTTGTTGGTTCTTAACTTTCGTGTTTGAGCCCCAGGGAGACTTTGGGTAATCTGAAGGAAATGATCCAGTAAGGAGAATGTTTGAGAAAGTGGGCACTGCTGTTTGGCCAACTGAGATAAGCCATAGTTCCTTGAGTCTGAGGTCCCACTCCCTAACCTAAGGTTCATAGATTAATAACTTTTGGCGGGGGGACGGGGGGGCAGTATGAGGAGGAGAATCCATTTTAAATGCACATATAAATTGTGGGATACCAGTTGATAGCCTTAATGGTGAAATGGGAGAACTGCTACATCGTAGAATGAAATAAGGCTGGTGTCCCGGCATACTTGAAAGATAACTTTTTATAAATAGTTTTTATGTATTTTAAGTAAACTCTATACACCCAACATGGGGCTCGAACCCACAACCCTGAGATAAAGAGTCACATGCTCCACCAACTGAGCTAGCCAGGCATCCCTTAAAGGTAACTGTTAATGCAGGAACTTGTATTTCAGTGGTTGTGGTGTTGCCTATATCTCTACACCAAAATGGTGAGTTTTTCAAGGTATTTGGGTCGTTACTCATGGGCAGGTCAATGGGCTCAAGAGGAAAGCTGCCTCCAAAGTACACATTTCTCCAAACCTCTTCCTAGGCTCTCGGTAGGCAGTTGTCCTCAGTCAGAGCGCTTTTTTGGTTTGAGACGGATGGAGTATGGGATGATAAAGGTTTGGGGTTTCTTTTCTCTGGATACCAGGTCGTAGCAGTCTGCCATCAGCATTTATCCGAGCCCAGCCAACCTATGTCAAAGTTGAAGTCCCTGGTGCGTTTGTTGGACCTGCGACCATGTCCCCAGGCATGACACCTTTGCTAACGGCCCAGCCACGCCGACAGGCCAAACAACACGGCTGCACACGGTGTGGGAAGAATTTCTCCTCGGCGAGCGCTCTTCAAATTCACGAGCGGACTCACACTGGGGAGAAGCCTTTCGTGTGTAACATATGTGGGCGAGCTTTTACCACCAAAGGCAACTTGAAGGTGAGTCTCTTCAGGCTCTCAGTGGGGATGGGGCTGGGTGTCCTTACTGGTGTGAATCCATCTATGATGAATTTTCCATGGAGACCAATGGGATGCTGTATAGTCACATCCCACGGCTGGCTCTCGAAATATGCATGTTTTCTCCTATCTCTGAATTGAGATACTTCTTACTGACAGTGTTTGATGAAATTGATAATATAATGAAATTGATCATTTTTCCCCTAATCTTAGCAGCACCTGAAATAGTGACACATTTTGCAAATACTGCTCTGTAGGAACGGGCCACATGGTCTATTGGATGCTCCTGTATCTTAGTATAAAGTAGTTACACAAAGGGTAGTTTTCCCTCCAATATTGGGGCCGACCGTAACCTCTCAACAATAATTCTGTAGATAGGTAAAATCCAGTCTGGAAACAGATGATAAATGTCACATGGGGTGACAATATTGACAACTCACCGTTGGATTTGTGTTTGCCTTCGCACTTGGTGACCACCCTGTATTCTTAGCCTGCTTGGTACCTGTTTTCTTAGCCTGCTAGGCTGAACTAAATACCATGAGTTAGACATGGATAGGATAGCCGTACTCAAGGAGTTAAAGAAAAGAGCCTCCAGATTATCAGCTGTGCTTTTAAAACCCAGCCGCTAGGTCCTTCCAGAGAATGGCCTCTATCTATTGTTAGATTCTACCTAAGATTTTACCAGAGAGATGGGGAGGAGACTTGCCCATATCTGGAATGACAGTGGCCTGTATAAGAACAAAGCATTGGGGACCTCGGGTTTTCCTTCTAGTCCTGCCTGTGGTTTACATGAGATGTTCTCTATATCTCTTTTCCACTTTTTTTTTTAAAGATTTATTTCTTTATTTATTCATGAGAGAGAGAGAGAGGCAGAGACACACACAGGCAGAGGAGAAGCAGGCTCCATGCAGGGAGCCCGACACGGGACTCAATCCCCGGGACTCCAGGATCGCATCCTGGGCCAAAGGCAGGCGCCAAACCTCTGAGCCACCCAGGGATCCCCTCTTCTCCACTTCTCTGCAGGAGTAGAATAGTTGAGTTGAATTCTTGTGGCTCAAAATAAAGGTTAAAACTTCTTGAAGTTGACCTATAAGACTGTCTATCATTTAAAAAGTTAAACATCAAAAACAAGCTATATTCTTTTTTTTAACTTTTTAGTTGGCGAACATGTCAGGGAAGGAGCATGGAGTAACTTAATCTCTGGTACCAACTAAATTAGTTCCCAGTCCCTGGGATCAATCCAAGGAAGGTCTGGAGCTCTTTTTTTTTTAAGATTTTATTTTATTCATGAGAGACACAGAGAGAAGGCAGGGACACAGGCAGAGGGAGAAGCAGGCTCCCTGTGGGGAGTCTTATGCAGGACCCGATTCCAGAACCCCGGGATCACACCCTGAGCCAAAGGCAGATGCTCAACCGCTGAGCCACCCAGGCGTCCCTGGAGCTCCTTTTGCTGCACACATGGCTTTGGGCAGATGGCTCCTCATGGTTCGGTTTCCCAGTCACGGGGACAATGGTAGCAACAACTTCAGAGTTGTCCAGGAGATTAAATGATTTGTATTAGTAAAGCACTTCAAGTTAAGCCTGTAACATCTTAACCACTTACAGCAATTAAGAGCAAGTTACGTCAGAGCCCACTGGCAAGAGCCCACTGGCAAGACAACGGCTAACTTCTCAAGATGTCATCCTGTGGATTGAAATTAGGTTACTTGAGAAACGGAACACCCACCACATTTTCCAGCTCGCTTTAAAACTTGAAAGGGATTTAGAAACTCAAAAGCTAGACTAGGAAAATAATTCTAGAAGGGAGGCCAAGGGAGCACCTGGGTGGCTCATTGAGTTGGGCATCTGCCTTCAGCTCAAGTCATGATCTTGAGGTCCTGGAATCAAGCCCCAAGTCAGGCTCCCAGCTCAATGAGGAGACTACTTCTCTCCCCACCCCTCCCCCTGCTTGTGTTCTTTTAGATAAATAAAATCTTAAAAAAGAAAAGGCCAAGTAGAAGGAGCAATAGGTAGTAGGACTTATCATCAGAAGAGCTCTTGACTTGTCTACCACCCTAGAATAACTTAGCATTCATTCCCCATGACCTCTGTGGTGGTGATTACGATCATTGACCTACTGTATATTTGGTAGGTCAGCTCCATCAGGGCAGTGTCTGTTTTGTTCAAAGGTTACTTTTTTTTTTTTTTTTAAGGATTTTATTTCAGAGAGAGAGCACAAGGGGGGGAGGGTGGCAGAGGGAGAAGGAGAACCAGGATCCCCACGGAGCAAGGAAGCCCAATGTGGGGCTCCATCCCAGGATCCTAGGATCATGACTTGAGTTGAAGGCAGGCACTTAACTGACTGAGCCACCCAGGTACCCCAAAGGTTATTTCATTAACTCAAGTTTTTATTCAGGTAATTGTGGACTCCCGTGCAGTGAGAATTAGTAGATCCTCCCATACTTTGCCCAGTATCCCCCAGTGGTAGAATTTTGCAAAACTGTAATGTAAATAATAACCAGGGTATTGACATGGGTGCAACCTACTGATCTTAAAGGTTTTCCCATTTTTTTTTAAGCTTGTTCTTTTTCTATTATTTTCCAGTTTTTTAAAAAAGATTTTATTTATTCATGAGAAACACGAGAGAGAGAGAGAGAGAGAGAGAGAGAGAGAGAGAGAGAGAGAGGCAGAGACACAGGCAGAGGGAGAAACAGGTTCCATGTTGGGACTTCAGGATCACGCCCTGGGCCAAAGGCAGGCACTAAACCCCTGAGCCACCCAGGGATCCCCCCTTCCCATTGTATTTGTACTCAGTGTATGTTTATGTGTTAAGTTCTGTACAATGTTATTACCTGTGTAGGTTTATTATCCACAAATTTTAACCCCAGCGCTTGAGAATGGCTGGTGCATAGTAAATGTTCCTGTAATTTTGCTTACGTGAACAGTGGGATGGGGACAGAATTGGAGCAAATGTCCCTGCCTTGGTTGTCTTAACTTGCCTCTAGGCAGGAATGTGGGCCCATTGTTGCCAAATCATCTGATTTTCCGCCCCCCCTCCCCCCACAAGAGAACAGGTATCTGGATTTTTTTAATGTTCAAACTCCTATGCAGACAGACTGGCTTGCCCACGTGCACACTATCACATCTCTGTTTTGGTGGAAACCTTTCTGTTCCTATCCCCCATAGGTCCACTATATGACGCATGGGGCGAACAATAGCTCGGCTCGCCGTGGGAGGAAGCTGGCCATCGAGAACACCATGGCTCTGTTAGGAACTGATGGGAAGAGAGTCCCTGAGATGTTTCCAAAGGAAATCTTGGCCCCTTCGGTGAACATGGACCCTGTCGTGTGGAACTAGTACACCACCATACTCAATGGAGGTCTGGCCATGAAGACCAATGAGATCTCTGTGATCCAGAGTGGGGGGATTCCTACCCTCCCAGTCTCCCTGGGGGCCAGCTCCATTGTGAACAACACCACTATCTCCAAGATGGATGGCTCCCAGTCTGCCATCAGTGCTGAAGTGGAAAAACCAGGTGCTGCCGACAGCGTCCCCAAACACCAATTCCCTCACTTCCTCAAAGAAAATAAGATTGCAGTCAGCTAAGCTCTTTGTCGAGGGAGAAATGCAGGCAGAATGACCTCTAGAACTCTACTACTTTTTTTTTTCCTTGTTAAAAGAAACCATCTCCTCCTGTTTTTCTTACTGATGTGCAAATGATGTTTACAGTTGTGATCACAACCTCAGGCAAGTCCTACAATCAGATGTTGTTATGCTGCTTTGCAAAAAAAAAAAAAAAATTGAAAAAATCGAAAAAATCAAAAAAGAGAAAAGAAATTGAAAAAAAATTGAAAAAGAAAAAAACAAAAAATACTAAAACATATACAGACTAGAATTTTTTTTTTCTTTAATTTTGGAAAGAAGCGGGTCCTGCAAAGTAGCGTTGTTACTTGCGACAAACTGTATACATAAAATCTTTGTACAACCAAGAGTAACTATTTCCAAAGACTATCCTATTTCAAGTTGGAACTTACTGAACTACAATGGACAAGACAACTGTTAGCCTAATTGGGGGAGGGGGTACTGTATACTTCCCTGGTGACTGTATGCGGGTACATGGACAAGATCTGGCATCTGTTTAGGGACCTGTTTCGTATGACACCCGCCCCCCCATCCCTGTACCCATCCTTCCTTTTTTTTTTTTTTTTGTTCCTGAATGTACTTTTTTTTTTTTCTTTAAGGTTGTAGAATTACAAAATTCCTTCAACCTTGGGACCTTAGGTAGGATACCCTCAAATGGACTGGTTTAGTCCTTAGGGAGTCAATGTGTGTTGCTGCTTATTTAAATAGAGTTCATTCGGAGCCCCAAGAGTGCCAATGTACTCCCTATGCTTTCCAGATGCCTCCTTCCTGAGCCACCAGGAGGGCTAGGCACCTAAGCAGGGACCCTCAGGTGACTTAATTTGGTTCGCCAGTGCCTACTCGATCAAAGACCTGGGTTTTCCTTCTTGAAGAAACTCACGGAAAGGGCATATTTCTTACAGGTTCACATACTACTTTGTACAAAAAAATGTCCTTGGTGCAGCTTATGCCAAGTTAGTATGAAGATTGTTCTTGAGTATTGCATGAAGGCTACGATGTTCGAACGGGCAAGTCATGGGTGTGAAAGCTTTAATTTATCTACCTCATTTATTTTTTATTTTTGTAGCCATAGTGTCTATTTTCCTATTTTATGACCGCTGAAGTGTTCTGACGCCCTGTCTTAAACCTGAGTTGATGTGTGATGGGAGCAGCTGGACGTTGAAGATACTTTCATGATTTTTTTTTTTAACTCTCACCCCCCCCCCCCGCCTTTTTTGTATATGTAATGATGAAACATGCTCTGATGGTTGAACAAGGAAGGAGATAGAAAGACCTTAATTTCCAAGTGGAGAATCTCCTTCTTTGTGGAAAAGTAGATCAAGACTGTTAACAAAAGTTGGTCTGTGTTATTGCACCTGACTTTAGGATCCAAAAATTTTTTTGCCACGTTGTGCCTTTCCTTCTGGAATTGTAAGTTGAGAACACAATGCTAGTACCTGTTTACACTGTGAAGTGGATATTGTTACAGAGAACACACCAGAGCCTTTCTCCCTGTTAAGCAAATCATGCCCGTGTGAATGTATGATCTGTGGAGAAACCCCTGTAGTTTTTACCTGCTGATGCTGTCTGTCTTGTTGGAGAATAAATTTTGGATGTTTTTTTTTTTCTTTCCCCCACCAGGTGCGTATGTAAGTTTTTCTGGTTCGTTTCTGCTCTAAACCTGATAATTTTTTTAAAGATTTTATTTGAGAGAACCCGAGAACACAAGCAGGGTTGGAGGGGCAGAAGGAGAGGGAGAAGCAGTTCTTCAGCTGAGCAGAGTTCAATGCGGGGCTCCATCCATCCCAGGGCCATGAGATCATGACCTGAGCTGAAGGCAGACGCTTAACTGACTGAGCCCCCCCGGGCATCCCTAAACCTGAGAATTTTTATTTTAACTATTATTTGCCCTCCTAACCCTTCAGGTCCTAGAATCTAAGATACACAAGTGGTTACATCTATGCTGGACCGATTTCTCAAGCACACACAAATAACGACTTGCTGGTTGGTATCTTTTTTTTTAGGATAAAAGGACAACAAAACTTGTTTTGTCCTAAAAAAAAGGGACAACAGTTTCGTTAGAGTAAAACTCAAGCTACAGAACTTTTGCTTGTGCTCACTTGTAACCACAGAAAGCTTATCATGCCAGAGATTACCCCATATCTACCCATCCGGACCTGGTACGAGTCATTGGGCAGAGAGACACTGTTTCTTTACCATCTCATTCTGAATGGACTGCTGAGAACCCTGTAGAATGTGGCACTTTATTCCAAGGGAAGATTCTTTGAGAGGGCGGTGGAAAAGCTACTGGGGAGAGATGCAAGGGCAAGAGCAGGTTAATGTCCCATTGGGGAAGTACCATGTTATCTATCTTTTGCTGTGTTTCTCTTTGCAAACCCAGTGACAAGCACCAGCATCAGGCTCTAGGAGAATCTTAAGGATGTGGGTGCGACTGGATCTGTGCATGGATCCTCCTGACGCCAGAGAAGGCCAGGGCTTATGTTCGCATAGCCTTTAACCTGATAGGAGCCCTGCATAGCTGTGTCCTTTGCAGGTGGATGCTCTCTCCCCGCTCCAAGGGTTGTTGTCTGTCCTTTGGCATCTAAACTCCTTTACAATTGGTGTGAAGTGCTTACTCTGTTTACTGTGAAAGCAAGATTTACCCAGCCCTTCTGATAAATTGAAATGGAAATATCGAAACCAATACGCCCTGGTGCCAAGTATCTCTACTGACCCTTTCTCCCACTTGATAACCCACAGTGAAGTTTTCTATCAGGATTGAAATGTATGAGGATGATCTTTACTTCAGTAAGAAAGCTAACATGTCATCTTCTTCCGGATGTATTTCAGACGTCTTTCCAAGGTCCGGTCACCCTTTTTAGATACCTGCAATAATACAAAAATGTTTAATCAGCTATTGCTATGCAGTACCCCTCTTTCCCCCAAAGTATTAACTAGTTCTGATCATCGTGGCATCGTTTTCCTTCCACCCAGTTAACCTCAGGGTAGCTTCCTATCTGAGGGATTGCTAGGGCAAAAGATGCACGTTTCCCCATGTGTTTGCAGTTGCTGGCATAAGCGTGTGTTATGTCTGTGTGCGTCTTTTCTCCACCCTAATCTTTGAAGCTAATCCTCCAGTAGGTTGTGATGTGAGCACACCACTATAGTCTTGTCTCTGTGTTGAAGGAGCATAGAGAATAAGCAGTACAGGTGTCGTAACTCAGTCTTTTGAGACCTGCCTACCTCTTTGCATTTCCCTTTATGGGTTCCCTATATTCAAAGCTGTTTTTCAATACCTGATGGGAAGATATAAAGGAATCTCTTCTCCACCTTAAACTGTCAGTTGTATCTCAATGAAACGGGGGAAAAAAGAATAAACTTTTATATTTCCCCCCGACCCTCTGCCTTCGGTTGTACTCCCAGAACCTGTTTGAAGACAGTCTTCTGGGAAAGGAATTATTGCTTTGAATGGGGTAGTTGGCGTTTGCAGACAGGGTCTGGGGAAGGTTGGAGTAGGCCCCTCTCTCCAGGTGGAGTTTGTACCTTGTTTGGCCGGCAGAACTGGCCTAAAAGCTGTGCAGAAAGGGAGGGCAGTGTGGGGAAGATGGTGGTTCCTCCTGTTAATGTCTGGCAGCACCTGGTTTAGCTAAACCACAGCATCAAGGAAGGTATTGAAATGCCTGCCTGTTTACAGGAAGCTCTTCAGTCATTTCAAAGGCAACCCTCACAGCAATATGACCTGCTTACAACGCGGTAGGTGGCTTAAGCCCAAACAGGAAAGCTAATGTATGCATGTCTGCATACATAGAACTTCCCAGAAACAAAGTCAGGGGTCAGGGGAAAGGATGGGTTCCTGAGCTAACTGGCTGGTCATTTGGGAAGGAAGTTCAGGTCAACACTTAGCCTGGGTGCCCTGGGGCAAGGTCATTTGTAGGACCTCATACCTCATCTGCAAAATGGGGAGAATTTGATTAACAGGATTATAGGATTATGGTGAAGTTAGACGAGTTTGAAAACCATCTGGGACATGGGAAGCATTCAGTATGATAGCCGCCCTTTCTCCCGTTTGGCTCAGAAAATCGCCACTGTCCTTAGGCAGAATGTGTCCCCACTCTGGGTCAGGTGGATTCTCTCGATTCAGTGTGTTGAGACTGAGGGGTCACCTGGGTCAGGAGATGACCAGCAGTGGATTGAGGGGGTCACCTGGGTCAGGAGATGACCAGCAGTGGGCAGCTCCTTTATCTTGAAGACAATGTAGCTCATAAACTGGAGGGTGTGCGTGCGGTGGCCTCTTTCCTCATTCCCTAATTGGTTGCATTAAAAGTGTAAAGAGCTGGGGGGAGATACACGATAGTAGGGGTAATTCTAAGGGTGGGTTTCTAGGTGTCTTCAGAATGGCTTCACATAAGCAACTGGGTTTCAGCAGGGTTTACCAGATTTCCTTGGTTCCTGCATGTACATTTTACCCCCCCTCCCTACTACTGCCATCAACACACCCTAAGATCTCCCGATGCATTTCCTTCGTGTTGTGGAAGTTCATTCTGAATCTATCAAAAAGCTGTACTTGGCTAAGTCCATGTTTCTGACCTTAGTTAAGTTCAGTTCTGAACACTACAGCAGCAGGTTCACACCTTTGCTTCTTGCTTTGGCATCACTCCCCCATTTTGCAGTTTCTGCACCCAAATGTATTTATTTAAAGAGGGCACTTTTTCTAGTGGAGAAAACCTACGCTTCTTGGAGAGCCTTGATCCTACCAGTTCCCCCAGTTCTGTTCTCTTTATTTCCAAACAAAATCATAAAGCACTTAAATAAGGAATGCCTATTTCTTTCTTTCTTTTTTTTTTTTAAGATTTTATTTATTCATGAGAGATACAGAGAGAGGCAGAGAGAGAAGCAGGCTCCATACTGGGAACCCAATGTGGGACTCCATCCTGGGTCTCCAGGATCACACCCTAGGCCAAAGGCAGGCACCAAACTGCTGAGCCACCCAGGTGTCCCTGACTATTTCTTTTGAAAAAAGAAATTTGCTGTTTATTGTTTTTCCATAACAAATACATCTCTTTGGCCATTGATTTTTTTTTAAAGGTTTTCTTTATTTATTCATGAGAGAGACACACAGA